TGCAAGAAGACCCCTGTGAGCTGGCATATGGTCATGAGTTTGGGTTTTGGGGTGGCACCAGACCAAGCTGCTGCATTCTAATCCTCATCGTGCCTCATTCTGTTGTGTAACCCCTGGCAAGTTCTGTGACCTCTCTGAGCCTTGATTTCCTCCTATGGCCTGTCACAATCTGTACATACATGACCCAAAGCTGCTGGGCTGGGGAAAGTGCTTGGCCCTGGGCCCAATGCCCAGTGCACAACAGATGTCACCCACCGAGGGAGGATAAGACTCACCCTCGCCTTCACTCAAGGGCCATTATTCATTTTTTAAATAAACCTGCTACCCTTCCCCTAACACCTACTTTGTTCTATGTAGGATTTTGTCTTCTGAGCAAACCGAGAAAACAGTGTTTAACTGGTGCCTAGGTAATGCCTTTCACTGCTCAGAAGACCTGAGTGCCATAGAAACAAGATTTCTTCATATCCAGCAAGGCTGCTTCTGGACCGAGAGGGGGCTTGGAAATCACATTTACCACCCCCCACCCCGCCCACGACCAGGAGAATCTTATGACCCCTGCCTCCGTTCACTGTCATCCACTCCAACCCTGATCTGTCCCTCTACTCTTCAAAACAGCTTAAAGACACAAAACTAAAAGCACTGGAATGAGCTGGCCTATCCAAGTGGAAACCACCCCAAGGATGCCACAGGATTTGGGACCACAATCACCCCATTAGTCCATCACTTCCCCCAGCAGTCAGGGGCCTGCTACAGAAAAGGCTGCCTCCCTTCCCCCACTTCCAAGCAGGGGCACTTGGTCTTTCCTTCAACATGTCTAAACTGGTCTCTTTCCCCAGGACCACTCTCACTTTGGATGGTCCAGTTTCTAGTGTGTGGTCTTACTTTGGAGCTCTCTATTCTAGCATCTTCTTTGATTCCACCTTTCTGCTCACCTCCAGGTGGTCACCAAATTTCCTGGTTCTACCTTGGCATGGTTTCCTGGCCACCAACCCTCCACTACAAGATGCCCCTCACTGTCCCAGCTTCTGCCTTCAGTGCACCAATCAAATGCCTCTAAATTAACCTTCAGAGTCTTTCTTTGTATGCCTAAGTCCTTTGTAAAAACAAACCAGGGCCAAGTTTAATGGTGTGTACCTGCAATCCCAGGTAGGCAGGAGGCAGAGGTAGGAGGATCGTGGTCAGAGGCTGGCCCAGGGAATAAACTTCAAGATCCCATCTGAAAGAAAAACTAAGGCAAAAAGGACTGGGGATGTGACTCAAGTTGAGCACAAGGCTTTCAGTTAAAAAAAAAAACAACCCACAAAAACAAAACAAAAAACAACCCACAAAGCACTTTGCTGGCTTCCTGTTAGTTACAGGATAAAATCTCGACCTTCATCTAACCTACAAATTCTTCCCCATCTGGCCCCACTCCTCTAGCTTTGCATTTAGGGAACACCCCATCAGACTCTGGAGGAGAGAACCAGAAATCTGCATTGAACCAGCCTGGCAGGGAATCAGACACCCACTCAAGTTGCAGAACCCTGGATAATGGTGGAGACCTAGGCAAGAGAGTGGCCACTCGCCCTTCATGACAAAGATGCCAGAAATTCCCTGAGGGATCACATGGCGTCCTTCCTGTGAGAAAACCTCTGAAATGCCACCTGGGCTGTCCTTAGAGGAATGTGCAAGCCTGATGTCAAGGCACAGGAAATGGTCAATACCCAACCACATTTGACCTCCTCATGTAGCCTAATAACTCTGTTATCTGGGGAAAGTTTCTATGATCAGGTCAGCTGTGTTTTGAAGGTTAAAGGAAAAGGCTGTGTGCCATCCCTGATTGTTGGTACCCAAAGAGGAGGACCTGGAACCAGTCCAGCTGCAGGCATCCAGGTATGTGGGATAGACACCTGGGTGTTAACTGAGGTTAAGCTAAACTTCACCCTGGGACAGGTCCTCCCTTAAGAACCCAGGTTTAGGGGTGCTGGGCAGTGGCTGACGGAATGGCACAGGCAGTAAGAGCACTGGCCTAGCAAACGTGAGGCCCTGAGTTCAAACCCCAGTGCCACAAAATAAATAAATAAGAACCCAGGTGGGGCCAAGGATGGTCACAAGGGAGGCATCCCCCAGCATCTACGGGGTTGGGACTATGCAGGGCCAAGTTACAACAGCGACATCCTGTGGCAATCAGAAAGCAAGGCAATTGAACTGATGGGGCCCCCCACTCCTCTTTTTTAATGCAATACTTGGGTTTGAACTCTTGCATTTGCTGGGGAGGCTGTCTGCCGCTTGAGCTACATCTCAGCCCCAGGCCCCGCCTTTCCTCTTTAGGTGAATTTAATGCCTTCAGGGATGTGTAAACTCCACATTTTAGCACAATTCAGAGAGGGGGAAGACACTCAAGGAAAAACAGTGCACTTTCTACCACCAAGGCGGGTTATGTATTGCCCTGGACCTCTATTTCTTCATTGATGACATAGCACATCTTCCCAAGTACTTCCAATCATCTCTATTTGCTATAAGAACTAATACATCGCAATAGCTGTCGTATGTACTGTTTAGGGAATAATGGAGAAAAGTCTGCACACTTTCAGTGCAAATGCAACTTCCTCCAGCTATTTTCAGCTGGCAGTTGGTTAAATGCATGGATGCAGAACCGAGGATGCAGAGGGCCAAGGGCCGACTGTGTTCTTCCTGTGCCTCCATGACCAGCAGGTAGCCACTGCAGGTCCTTCTGCATTTTTCCTCTGGAAATTTTGCAAATAGAAAACAGAAACAGTTTGAGGTCTGTCACTTCCTACTTGCTATAAAATCCTATGTCCTTTGAAGAGTAAGTGCTGGTTGTTCAATGAAGCCACTGGAGAAGGCAAATAAATGCCTTGAGGATAGAGAGCAGACAAAGGTAGGGGTGTGTTAGGGTCCCTCCCTGGCTTCCTGACAATGTCTTCAGGCTCAGAGCTGGATGAGCAGGGAGGAGGTGGCCCCAGGAGGGATGGCCATGGGCTCCCAGCCTCAGCACAGATTTTCACACACAAGCACATCAGGGAGGCAGATGGACAGTGTGGTGGGACCAACAGGCATCTCAGTGCTTGTGCTGGGGGTGGGAGGGGCCAGGTGACAGCCTCAATACACTGGGCTTCAGCAGAGGGGCGTCCCAAGGACAGCTGCTGTGGGAATTCTCACAGCCTGGCAGAATAAGGGCCTCAGAATCAGAACTGAATTGGTTCAAAGGCAGCAAAATTTAATTTTGTATGCATAGACCATTTGGCATGGTATCTGGCACCCATATGTGAAATGAGTGTCATCTTTCGGGTGGATGCCAAGGCTGGTGTGACTCACACAGGGGCTGGTGTGCTCTTCTGCCTCCCACAAACATCCTGACTCCTTGAGGAATTCATCCTAAACCCCTGGAGAGGAGGGGGTGGTGGAGGCTCCCCGTAGTTTCTGAGTTCATTAGTAGAAGGCCCTGAACTATGAACGTGCACACATTTATTGAGGACAATCCTGTTTTTAACTGTGAACAGGAAGTTGTTTCTTTGGGCTCATTCTTGGAAGACACCTCTTTTATGCTCAGGTTGCATGCAATGAGAGACAATTCTTCAAGGGAAAAATACCGATTGACTAACGCTGAGGACCAGGCAACAAAAGACCTTTGAGCTGCTGTTATTCAGCCCAGCTGTGACACAGGCCCCGAACAATTCTCCAAGTCTCATAAGAGATTCCAGAACTCAACTAGAATGGGGTGGGAAGAGCTAGAGTTGGGTCTCAGCCAGCAGTGGCTTCCCTGGCATGGGATTCCAGAAAAGACAAATCCATCCATCGTTCCACATTCACTGGAGCCAATGTCAAAGTCTGGTTTTGTCCTATTGCACTGATAAGAGGCTTGTGAACATGAAATAGCTCACAGGGATCTGGGGAGACAAGGAGGCTCCACTGTTAGCAGAGGACAGTTCCCGGGTTGCAGGTGTTGGTCAAAGCATCAATCTGTGATTCCTTCAGCAAAAAACCCTCTGTGCTCCGTATGGTCGCAATTTCCCTAAAGAAATCTAATAGTCGTGCCAAGAGCTTCCCAGTATTTCCTCTGGAAACCACATGTAGCCCAAAGCCACCCAGAAAAGAATAACCTCCCCGCGAATCCCGGCACAACAATTCCTGCCACCAGGGGTCGCTGTTACATGCCCAAAGCAAAAGGTTGCCTTGAGTCTTCAGGTTTTGAAAAGCTATTGTGAAGCATTGCTGCCACCCAAAGTTTCACTGTCTGTGACAGGGGTTGATGAGTCAATTCTGCATTTTTGTTGCATGGAGCTCTTGTAATTACAGACTTCTGGAAGCTGGGCTTTCATTGTTCATGAGGGTTATTTTAACCCGATCCAAGACCTACTCATGAACTGACCCACAACTAGTTAACTAACTGGCTCCAGTGTACTTGGCTGTGTCCATGGCTGGCACTGAGTGCCCAAGTCTACTGTGCTCTGCTTGGGGATGCCTCAAGACTGTGAGTGCAGAGCACAGAATAGGAAGAGGTCCAGTACAGAGTCATGGAAACCAGGGTTTGGCCATGGGTCATGAGGACTCACTGACCACCAGGCCATGTGCCACTGTCCCAGTGTGGCTTCATTGGCTTCTGGAATGCACCACCAGCCTCCCTGGTGGCTTTAGGACTTTCTCTTTGAATTCCCAGTGCCTATAATGGCCTCTACCCTGGAATACAGACCATGTAGCAACAGATTAAGCCCATGGAAGCCTTTCCTACTTTCAGTTCTGACCATGAGGCTAAACAATTTGGAGTGTTGCTGGAATGGAAATCTGTAATTGTTAATTTCATTTGTGGACAGAAATCTATTAATTTTCTACACATTGCAGCTTATCCGATCACAGATAGGTGTATGAATCCCTGCGCCAACTGCCCCACGTGCTGTAGGGTTAATCTCCCAAAGCAAACAGAGCAAAGCAAATACTGGAGCAGGCAGTAAGCAGGCCTTGCCGTGGGCTTCATCCATCCTCCAGAACTAGCTCCCTACCTGGACAAGTTCCCACCGTCAGGGCTTCTGGGTAAGTGCTCTTGCTTCCTTTGTATGCTCTGACTGTCTCCAAGTGGTTGCACAGATCTTGAACTCGGAGCTGATGAAGTCCTCTGAGCCAGAAGAAAGAGAAATTGGAAGAAAATCAAGTAGGACTATATGAAAAACAGCAGGAAGAAAAATTATCAATACGCCCGCTGAGCACAGAACACTTCAAGGTATATGGCTATTATTGTGCGCAGAGCACCAGAACTTCAAAATCATGGACGCGTGTTGATTTAAAACAACTTAATTTCAAAGGAATGGTCAGTGAGGTATAGTATAAAAATCAGAAGAGGGGAAAAAAGCTTCTGTAAATCCCAAGCTGTATTTACAAAAGCCAGTGGTTGTGTCTTATTTTGTCTTCCCAAGAGTAGCCCTAAACCCCCATAATAAATAACAAATAAATTTTTTCCCACCACCTCTATTTCTTTCTTTTCCCTTTTTAATTTTTTTACAATGTTTAACAGGTTTGATTATTCTATTTTCATACATGCATATAAAGTCCTTCAATCATATTCATCTCCCTGACACCCTCTCCTTTCACCATTCCCCCTCTCACCAGTCCCTCCAACAATCCTCCTTTTACATTCATGCTTTTTAAGGTCTACATTCCAAATGTGAGATAAACCATGCAATATTTACATGGCTGAGTCTGGTTTATTTTGCTTAATTCCATCTATTTTCTTGTAAACAACACAATTTCATTCTTCTTTATGGCTGAATGATACACCATTGTGTATATATACATTTTTAATTAGTTCCTTGCTTTGTGGGGCACCTGGCTGAATTTCCCATAAACTTTGGCGATTTTGACTAGTGCTGTGATAAACATGGGTGTGCAGGAGCCTCTACTGTATGCTGACTTAATTTCTTCAGGTATATACCCAAGAGAAGTATAGTAGGGTCATAAGGTAGGTCTATTTTTACTTTTTGAGTTACACTGATTTCCATAGTGGCTGCACTAATTTACATTTCCATAAGAGTTCCTTCTCCTGCCCGCCCCCCAACCTCCTCCACCCTCTCCAGAATTTGTTAATATTTGTTTTCTTGATGACAGGTAAGATGGAAACTTCGGGTCATTTTGATTTGCACTTCCTTTACGGCTGGGGATGTTGAACACTTCTTCATGTGTTTATTGGTCATTTGGTAACTTCTTTGAGACCTATGGTCTGTTCAATCACCGCTCTCCACCAATTTAATTCACTCTGGGTTATTTGTTCTTTGTGACTTTAGTTTTTGACTCTCTAATTATCCTACTTATTCAATTCCTCTATCTGATGACTAGCTGGCAAATGCTACAGGCTATCTCTTCTGGTAATTGTTTCCTTTGCTGGGTGGAAGCTTTCCACTTTGATGTAATCACATGTGTCAATTCTTGCTCATAATTCCCTGAAGCAACTGGGAATTTTTGTAAAATTCCATTGTCCCTGATCTATCCTCTTATAATAGTTTGGGTTTGTGGCATTAAGGTTTTGCTCACTTGGTATTTTGTCTGTATGTATAATTTAGGTGGTGGGTACTGGGGATTTGGCGGATCACTTAGTAAATTTACTTTTGTGTGGGACTAGGGTTTGAACTCAGGACCTTGCACTTGTTAGGCAAGTGCCCTACTACTTGGGTCATACCCCTAACCCTCTTTATCATTTTGAATTGATATAAACACACTGTTTAAGAATGGATCTGTCATCTTTTAAAAGAACTGTTCTACCTCTGCCCTCTGTCTGTGAGGGTCTCATGGAAAATGCCATAGTGCCCCATGCCTCTGCCTACTGGAATGGAAAGGCTCAGGACAAGCCTGGTCTTTCCACAGAATTCTCTGAAGGACCACAGCAGTGGGAATCTGGTGATGGGTTCTGCAGAAACAAATGCAGGAGTTACCGGCCACCTTGTACCTAGTTATTGAGGACGAAGGGAACCTATAGCAAGAGAGAGGTGAGCCAAGTAGAGGAGACAGTGAACGAAGAGACGGAGGGAGAGAAAACGGTCGCCGGTAGTGTCAAAGAGATTCAGTTCCAGTGGGCGTCCGAGATCCAGTTCTCATTGTCGCCATCCGTTTACAAGAGGTCGAATGTGATGGGCCTGTTGAATTGCCTCTTTCACCTTACCTGGTATAAGTTGGATTCTGTCGCTTGCAACGGATAGATGGCATTTATAGCTCACCAGGTGAGCTTTGAGAGAAATGAAGTGTTCTAGGGTCAAGTAGGTCTGAGATGTGCTACATTTCGGTGTTAAGTCAGACTTTTCATTGCTGTGACAAAATACCTGACATAAGAGAAGAATGGTTTATTCTGGCTAATGGCTTCAGAGATTTCAGTCCATAGGCCTTGGCTCTGTGGGTTCTGGGCCGAGAGAGAGAGAAGACGACGGAAGAGAAGAGAGAGAGAGAGAGAAAGGAGGGAGGGGAGGAGATATGGGGGACCTAGGAAATTTAACCTTTCAAAGGCCACCCCAGTATACCACTTCCTTCAAGCCAGGGCCCCTTCTCCTGAAGTGGTCACCACTCCGCAAGAATTGCACCACAAGCTGGGGACCATGAGTTCAACACATGAGCCTTTGGGGACATTTCATATACAAACTAACAACCTCATAGCCCTCTTTTAGAAATTCATAATGCACAGAAATATCTTAAAGGTTCTGGGAGGTTCTGCAGTAAAATAACTTACTGAATTTTAACTCTAAATTCACAAAGTTTCTTGACCACCAAACACTTCGTGGTTCCTCATGGAAACACTGCTACGTGGCACACACTTCCGAAGACAGTTCACCCAGACCTCACTTCTTTCTAGCTTGCTTAAGTCTATCAGATGATCCAAAGCTGCAGAACAGGACGTTCCTTGGCCTGTGGGCACCTTTGTGATACTGGATGATGGCACTTCAGGGTCGAGTGCACTGCTTGACAGCTGACCATGCCTCTGTGTGTTAAAAGCCACTTCCCTTTCCTACAGGGATGCAGCTCAGACAGAAGCACATGACTTGTTGGATGCTTGGATGAAGCCGAGAACCCTAAGTTCTCATGACTTTGGGGATTTCTCATTCTTATGGGGGAGTGCAGGGGTGGTAGGGTCAGGGCCAGGCAATCAAAAGCTTCTCACAGGTCTTTCAGGTGGCTCCTGCTCCTGGTTAAGAAATTTCTTGCCCCAAAGGCGGCCACTGTTTCACCTTTACATGGCCAGAGAGAACCTGTCTGCATCCTGGCCGCATTCATGGAAGCACTTGCAGACCAAAACACAAAAAATTCTCCTGTGGACCAACCAATTCACCAGGAGAAACCATGGAACCTGACACAGCCAAAGTATTTGATGAGTATGTCATTTCACTGACCTTCCAAAAACTAATGTTTTATTCACTGATTTGTCGACTCACTTACCCACCCAAGAAACTTCATCCAAGCCTACCACGTGCTAAAAGTGAAGGCCACAAAATGAGTAAAACTCAGTCCCTTCCCTTGGTTGTTCACAGTCTAGGATAACAGACCCCAATATCATGACCACAGGGTGTAAACACAGGAGCAAGCCAGGAGGAGACTAAGTGGGAGCTGGCAGACACCCTCCCAGGCCAGGGAAGACTGGCTCTGCCTGTGTTTCCCCACCCAATTCATTTCTGAGTGGTTGGCCATTTGTGTTCATCCAATTGTGTCCAGGGGTAACTACAAAAGATGCCTTACCTCTCAGGGGTCCAGACAGCTCAGCACCAACAAGAACACTACAGTGAGTCAGAACGAGGGGGGCAGGCAGTCAGTAAAACAATATAATAATCGGCTCATGAGCACTACAAGGCAGGGTCTTTTCATGAAGCTAGTTCTCCTTGTAGGAGTACTTTTCGGCGTCCGTTTAGAGTTGACACTGTGGGAGGTTAAATAACTTGGCCAAGGTCACACAGCAGTGGAGTCTGGATGGACCTATTCTGATCCCAGAGCTGGGACAGGGCGTTTTTCTTCGTGAACCCTTCAGCAAAGAAGTGTAGGAGGAGGCAGAGACAGCTGGGGCTGAGTCCTTACCTAAGAGGCTGGGTTCCCATGATGGCTGAGCTATTCCTGTAATGAGAGCTCTTTCCCTGCCTGTGGGACCACAGCCTCCTATCTGTGCTTCCAGGAAAGCAGCCACCCCTAGGGGATAGCAGCAGACTTTATTTTTTTGGGCAGTATTGGGTTTGAACTCAGGGCCTTGCAGTTGCTCTACCAGTTGGGCCACACCCACAGCCCTTTTTACTTTAGTTATTTTTCAAATAGGGCCTCGCATTTTGGCTTAGGCCAGCCTGAACCGTGAGTCTCCTATGTATGCCTCCCAAGTAACTCGGATAAAAGGTGTGAGCCACCATGCCCAGCCAGTGCATACTTTGAGTAACCTTAGGTTGAAATTCTGCAAGGTGTCCTGGCCTCTTCAGTGCAAGGTTCTTCACCAAGGTAATACTGCCACCTTTGGATGCATGGTTTTCATTTACTATGATAACTTGAGAATCACAATGAAGATTGAATGGCTTTTTTATATCAGGGTCCTGAATTTTAAAAAGTGTAATACAAGGCTACTTGTCGAACTGTCAGGCAAAATCAGCTCCTAACACCTACAGCTGGGCCTCCCTCCCAAGGCCACAGTGTCTGCACCTGACATTCTGCAAATAACCTAATAGATAACTCTGCCCTGTGTGCTATGATCAAGGTTTCTTAGAAGTAATTCTGGAAAGATATTAACACATCTAACGGCACAGACGGATGCCACCAACAGACAGGAGAAGAAGGATCTTCGCTCTAACTAATGGGGGTAAGGGACCCCGTGCTGCATTCCCTCAGGTGCAGAGAGCGCACAAGGGCTCGGATTCATCTCTGAGAAGGAAAAGAGAGGGCCTCCCTCCTGTCAACCCTATGCCTCCTCTACGCTGCTTATATGTTGTCCCCTGCCCAGCAACTCTAGATGGAGTTAAAATAAACGCAATAGGGCTGCGATATAGCCCAGAGGTACAGTGCACACTTAGCATGTGTGAGACCCTGGGCTTAATTCTCAGTACAAACAAAATAAAATAATACAATAAAATAAATAAAATAAGCAGCAGAGCGACCCACACGAGTGGCACGTTG